GGGGGCTCTGAAATTTTTTCGACTACCAAGGAGGGGGCTCCTAAAAAATTGAACCGCTAGCGAGGGGGGCTGCTAAAATTTCAAGCTTCGAGTTTCAATATCTTCATCCCCCCCCCTTGTCATATTAAATGAACTTTCTCTAAAAACACGAAGACAAACTTACAGATAATGAAAGAAATAAAAAAACGTATATGAAAATAAACGTTAAAAACCATAGGCTCCTTTAAAAAGATAAGTCTTCAAATGTGTTGTTAAAAATAGCGATTGATGGAGATTTACGAATGCTAAGAGGCAAGTTATTCCATTGCCCTGGCGCAGCAATGCTGAACGCCCGATCTCCATAAGTCTTTAGTTTAGCCAGTGGCACAGTGAGCAGTTCTTGCCCACTGAAGCGTAAAGACCGAGAGCACTTACGATGGCTCAGGAGACTAGAAATGTAAGAGGGTGCTTTGCCATTGAGTGCTTTATAGACTAATAACAGGAGCTTAAAAATAATACGTGAATGTACCGGGAGCCAGTGTAGGTTGAACATTATTGGGGTAATCAAATCATACTTCCTTGTTAACGTGTTCGTAACGTACTCTGAACACGCTGTAATCTACAAACTAAGTATTTTGGAATACCATATAGAAGTGAGTTACAGTAGTCAAGCTTAGAACTAATAATTTAAGCATGGATGAGCATTTGAGCAGTCTCCTGGGTGAGATATTTGCGGAGCTTTGATATATTCCTGTAGGAGCCGAAAATTAATTCTCGGGACGCTTGCCCTTTAAAATCAGCACGTCACAAATACATAGCCGGTTTTCTTAACTTGCTCGTTCTCTGCACTCTCAGAACACTCTCTATTCCTTCCTCGTAATGCAAGTCCGCAAGAGCCATAACCCCATTATGGCTCTTGAAGTCCGTGAATAACACCAGCAACCTATTGCTGTAGATCTCTTTCAACACTCACAGTGACTCAGCGAAAGTATTGCAACCGCTTTCCAGTTGAGCAGTCGGTAACTAAAAGCTCGCACATTCCATAAAAAAATACTTTTAAGTCTCCGAATCATAGAAAACTAATTGAACTGGCTCATGTATTAAATTAACAAAAAAGTACCCAGTCACTCAAGACTATTTTTGAATACCCACGCCATTTTAGAGAGTACCCCATATACGAAAACCATAGAAACTGGACATTTTTTTATCACGCGACGGGTCCTTTTACGTTTATCTTTATTTACTTTACTTTATTTTATTTTTGTTTTTTGCTTTTGGAAAAATTATAAAAGTCGTGACTGGAGTCCTGGCTTTCATAGTGGTTTATATTGATAGTCTTCCTGTTTTTCTCGGAATTGCCATGCATGATTGAAGCCCCCCCGCCTAAACAAACAGTCGTAAGTAGTAGTCTCAAAGTAATTTACCGCCAAGGAATTTGACTAAATTCTGAGCTATCTTTCGTACCCGAGATTTTTGACAGACGGAACTGACATCTTCCAAGGTATCGTAAAAAGATGTATAGAGTAACAAAATTTATTTTGAGCTGGAGTTGTAAAGCCCGTTTCAAACGTCGTGCTACTGCCGTGCCGAACTCAATTGATCGAATTAAATTCGACTTAAGCACGGCAGTAGCGCGACTTGGTTTCAAACGTCGTGCGACCGCCGTGCCGAACTCAATTCGTAAATTATAAATACAATAGAATACTTATAAAAGTTTTCTAAACCGTTTCTTTTTTGTGTGTTTTGTTTTCGGCAACAGCCGTTCTATTCGACTGAATTAAATTCAACGTCTGAAACCAAGTCGTGTTGCAGTGGAGCTACAGTCGAGCCAGCTTAGCACGGCAGTAGTACGACGTTTGAAACAAGCCTAACTTTTAAAGTTGGTGAGTGTGTAAATTCCTAATCTGCCGACGTTCTTCTCTAACCAAAGTTAGAGTTGATTCGTCGTGATTTTTATATTAAACGTCTTGTTATGATCCTTAAGGCCGAATTAATCATGAAGAAATAAGAATGTGTTTGCACCTTGAATCGAAATCGGGCGACGTGACGAAAGCTTTGTTAGATTCAACACGGAGCAGAGGTCACGCGATCGGCTAGTTTCTAAAGATCTTTTATTAACTAATGTATCGAGAAAAAGCACTATTAGCAGTTCTAATGAGGATACTTGATAGCAGGATACTGTCTGACACGCTTCACCCTAAAATGTTGTTTAGAAACTTACCTAATTCGGTTATGTAAGCTTCGACGAATGTTGAGCCATAATGACGTTATTGGCTTGCCCGTTAGAAACTTGATTCAGTTTGTATAGACTTCCGCTCGAAACTTGGTTTTCCTTTGCGGGCAAGCTAGCGCTTAGTTGTTGGTCGTCAATAGCAGTTGTTTTGCCGCCCGGGTTTTGCCGTGAGCCGTTTGTAGTGAGCTTTATTTTTGGTTTTGCTGTGAGGTTTTTTAGTTTCGGTGTGAGGTTTTCGGTTTCGCCTTGACATTTGTGCCCTACAGGAGGGACTGTTATTTTAATTATTTATAGCCCTTTCTTTATAAACTTATTTTTATCTAACACTGAGTTGCATGAATTCGAAACTGACCTAGGACGTATGCGAAAGTGTAAGTTAATCCTGTAAGATGTCTTTAGTGAACAAAACACTGTCCCTCAGTCCATGGATTACCCCCATGGACCACCGGGGGTGGGGGGGGGGGTACTGCCATATATGGGCTATATAGGTACGTGCCGCTGTAAAGGGTATGGTTTTCAAGCAGTTTACTCTAGGATAGGGTATATAAATCAGTGCGTTTGGGTCTAGAATAGGGTATCATTTTTCAGGAAACTGATCAGTTGGTTGAAGATTTTATCTAGACTAGGTTAACAGCTACTCTAGGATAGGGGGATTTGGGGAGTTTACTCAAGTATAGGGTAGCAAAATTCAGCTGAACTAGCTCTAGTATAGGTTAAGGGTTCCAGGGTCCCAGCGGCACATCCCCACCCAGAAATTCCTAAAGTACCCCCCCTCCCTGAGACCTCTCCCTTTTAAATGCCTCTTATCCATTAAACAGCCCTTGCTTGGACCCCTAAAATTTAATAGATTAGATCATAGACAGTATACAGGGATTGATCAAATCCAGGTTTTGTTGATACTTAAGAGAGGTTCATTCTTTATCAGATAGGAGGGCTGTTGGGATTAAAGAGGGCCATGAAAAAAATATGGCTTTAAAGGAATGGGAGGGGGGGGGAGGTCAGGAGAACAATTCTGGTTGTAAAAGGGTGGCCATCAAAAAATTCCTTCAAGTTTTACAATGAAGGCATCTGTAATAATGCAAACAGCTTACCAGAATGCCAAAAACTAGCATGCCTGATGTTCATAAAGATAAAATTTCTTGGGGAAGGAAGTCCTCAAACCCCCTACTCTATTACAGTAACATAAAGCAATTCTACCCCACTAGAATGTAAAAAGCATACCAAATCAAACGTTTCATTGCGAGAAAAACAAGCTTCATTTCCACAACGAAAATGGAATGTCTCTTGCATTGCTTTCACATCATCCCAACTATCTTAGCCTGCGAGCAAGCTCTCCCATTTGGGCGAGCGAAGCCAGCCACGCAAGAACGCAGAACGCGAGAACACAGTCGCGTCTCCTCACGCATGCCTCTCACGCATGTACTTTTCACGATATCCCCCAAATGGAGATCTTGGAACTGGCTATGATTGGTTTAGTACTTACACTACTGCTTGCAACTGTGATAACCTAGATATCACTAGATTGTAAGCAACAGGGTTTATGAAGAAATAATGCTGTTTTCATGATCACTAGATCATAATGCTTCTGGATATGACTCTGACCCTTACTCTGTCCCCAGTGAACCAGCCTTTATAGACAAAGGAATGTAGTCTGTTCACAAGTGCGAAGTGTCAAGGGGTCTCTGCTATCTAAGAGGACTCCAAGGTGAGGGGATGCTGTCATAAAATTTTTTAATTTGGAACTTAAAACTCGATCTGTAAGAGACAAGTTCAGTTGAGGTGGCTGAGAACAAGCAGCCAATTATTAGGAGCTATAATACTGAAAAAATTCTTGTTTTGGATAATTGTAGAAGTTATTAAAAATACTTTTTTTTCAATTCCACGAGCAGCTTTGGGTGTGGTCTGGAAGGTTTAACTCACACTTTTCTGACTTTCGACTCGTTTTCTTCTTGTTNTCCATGTTTGCGGTTGGGGGCCCTGTGTGGTGGGGGAGCAAAATTCCCTTTAACCCGGCCGTGGTAAGGGTAAGGGGCCCCGGGCCCACCCCCCCCCCCCCCCCCCCCCCCCGGGAAGACTACACCGCTGGCGTGTAGTGATTAGGGTTGAGTGAACCAACTCTTGGTTTTAGGTCAGTTTTCTCAGCATAATGACCCTAAAAGGAACCTGATTCACTCAGGTTCCTAACCCTATCACTAAGCCCATTCTGGGCTAGTCCATACGGGTAGCCCATGAGGGTACCACCTGTAAGGTGTAATTATTCGTATTTGTAATGTTTGTTTCCGATTATTAGGGTTGAATGCCGCTAAACCAGCTAGAGCGGTGTGTACTTCTACTATAAACACAGCATTTACAAAACATTTTGTTTATATGTTATGCCAGCCCCTGTCTATGTATTTTCTTAAATGTTAAGGACTGTCGTTTCCACTTATCCATAACAGTTACGGATCGATTGAGGTTTCTCAGTATCTCACCACCTAACCCTTCCCTAAGTCTCGATTTTGCCGTAAAAGAGAAGTAAGTGTTTACGTCGATTTAGGGGAGGGGTAGGTGGTCAGTTACCCAGAAACCTCAATTGCCACTTTCCCTTTAATGTTAAAACTATTTTGCTTCACTACATTAAGTAATTCAAATATTCGCAATTTTTATTTATCTAATTTCTCAGTGCTTCATCATATACCCTCAAGAAATGTCTCATACTCCAGACAATCCTGACCCGCCAGAGCTCAATGACGACCTGTTGAAGTTGTTGAAGCCAGAGGATCTTCCTTCCTTTTCGGTTGATTGGGAAGACAGTAAACGTGATCGTCCAGTTGACATTTTGTTGCTGACGGCGAAAGAATGCGAATTTCTGAGCTGCGTTTCGCATTTGAATCCAGGATTCTACAAGAGTTGGCTAGACGGTCTAGGACTCGTGTACTTCGGCAGAACTGACCGTGAAGACGAATCGTTGAAAATTGCTGTAGTAGAATGCTCTGTGGGTTCCGTCGAGCCCCAAGCTTCTTTAGTTGTTGCAAAAAGTGCCGTTGAAGCCTTACAACCCAAAGCTGTACTTAATGTGGGATATTGCGGTGGTTTAAACAACAAAGTCAGATTGGGAAATGTGATAATTTCATCCAAGTTGAGAACATATTCAACTTTCAAAAAATCCAAGGGAGTAACTGAAAATCGTAACATTGCTGTTCCGTTATCCGCAAATTTTGCACGCCTCGTAAAAACGGCTAATTACGGCTGGAAACCACCGTTGAGCGACCCCGAGCAACTGAAAGTAGAAGTGTTCAAGGATGGCGTGATGTTGAGCGGCCCAATGGTGGTGAACGATGAACAACTACGTACGGAGTTAGTCAAGCAAGGTTCGGACGCTATCGCTGTGGAAATGGAGGGTCAAGGTGGGTGTTTGTGATCTTCTGATATTGTAGTTCCTACGGACAGCTATCTATAACAGCTATAGCGTTGTTCGCATAAACAGCTGAAGCAGAATTCCGAGAAGGTGTCAACAGCTAATTCAAAGAAAACCTGGCATTGAACATTGTAGCCTGCGAAAACATCCGTTTCTCCAATGTCCCCAGCGGCGAAGAGCGAGGAGAAACGGATGTTTTCGCAGGCTATGAACATTGGTACTTGGAGCAGAATACAGTACCCGGAACAGAAATTGATGAGCCCCCGTATATTACATATCGAAAATAACGAATTTCCATTGTGTCAGCGTTCAAGGATTATTTTTTAGAAGTGAAGAAATGTAGGTATTGACGCTTGAAACTTAATGTTGAAGTTTATTGTGGTATTTCGTAAGTGATCTCAGGTGTTTCCCGAGTTAAAAATGAGCATGCAACATCATTTCCAGGTATAGAAGGTCCGGTGGCCGGTATCATATCCTTTTTGCTTTTTACCATAACATCGACCATCATATTTTCCGCAGTACTGAGTTTGTTTCGATTTGGTGACCATGTCTTGTTGTTCCAGGCTCCACGGCAATGATGCTGGGGCTCCAGGCCTCCTATTCTCAGACTTCTTGTGACTTTTTTACGTTTTTATATTTATTTTTTTTTATCCGACCGACCGACCCAAAATCAGGACGACGCTGAACGAAAAAAAAAGAGGATGACCTTACAATCATGACAACATGTAAAATTAATCTTATCCTTTGAGGTAAACTCTAATTGTAAGTAATTTTGGGCAAACCAGGTAAAAAAGATCTTCTATCAGAGTGAAAAATGAACATTAGAAGTTATCATAATTTATTGTGGATTTTTTTTCGATAAATCCAAAATTTTAATCAATTTTCCTAAAGTAGCATTTTCAAGGATCTCTGTTATATATGTATGCTTTCTTTAGTTTAATTCCTAGACGCAGGCGGCACCGTAGAAGGTTAAAGGAAAAAGGCGCCTGCCTCGTACCCAGGCACCTTTACACGTAGGGGAACATGGGAAGGTGTAACAACAAGGTGTAACACCAAGAGAAGGGTTACCCCAAAAGAATACTTCGTTTGCTCTTCTCAAGGAGCCTTGCACGCCTCAATAATCTCGTTTCCAAGCTTGCCCTCGATCCGCCGAAATCTATCTAAATGTCCCTAGATACGAGACACAGCAGACGCTACAATGTCTACTACTTCCACTGCCCTTCTCTTTTATTTGTTGATTTACTTAAAAATTTCCTTTTAGGTTTGTACTCAGCGGCGCATGACCTAGGGATAGAATGGGTCATTATAAAAGGCGTTTCCGACTTCGCAGACGGCACGAAATCTAGCACAAATTCCTGGAGACCATTTTCGAGTGCTATGGCAGCCTCTTTAACTTTTCACATGCTCCGTAATACCCGTGTTTTCAAGAAATGGAAACATTATGAACGTAAGTACCAGTACAACGCATCGAAGATCCTCTGTTACGGGGGAATACTAGTTTAAACTGCGTCATAATTTGTATGTATATGATATCAGTTCGTCAGACATTGGAGATAGAAGTTTGCAAAGAATAAAAAAAAACAATTATCATGGAAGAAAAGATCTAAGATTTATGCTTCAAATGGGAAAAGTGCTGAAAATATAATGCTAGTATTTATCATTTAAAAGATCCATCAACGTAAGAGAAAATTAAAAAGAACGTTAGAAACGAGCTTGGTCAAACCAAATGTAAAACTTCAAAGTTCAAATGTAATTGCTTCCCAAATGAAATTCCGCTGTGGAGAGGTTTGACTGTGAATAGATCCGACTGTTTATTGTCTTCGTAGCCCCCTTTTCGGGAAGACTTCAGATATAGTCCTAGTCCCCTAGAATCCAACAAGTAATTTTTCGTTTGCATGGTCTGTCAGTAATAGTAAATTATTTCACCCCGAACAATGAAGAATTTGAAACTACGGTGCATTACTTAAGAGAAAAACTGCATAATTTAAAAGTCTTGTCTGATTAAATTCTATAGATCAAGAGAAAATAGTGACATTCACATCACTTTTTGTACGAATTTATATTTTAAATTTGTCCCGACTTTAATCCTTTTTTCCAGCGTGATGCGGACATAAAATATGTCTTTAACCTTTTGCTGCTTTGCCCGATTGCGGTTGTTCCTTTACAAATCGTTCACTTTCAAGCGACACCGAGTCAGTTAAGCTATTGGTTACTTTTTAGCAGCCAATGGCAAGTAGTATTTTCGATCCTAGCCACCAGAAGTATAAAGACAGCCAACTTCTCTCTCTACACGTTAGACTTTATCATAGTAGAAACTGACGAGGAACGCTATAGTTCCGAAACTGCAGTCTTGCTTAAGAATTTATAACAAATTGTGGCAATACCAGTGCAGTTGCATAGACTGTTAAGCTGAAACAAAAGTAATGCACCTACAGAGGAACAACGAGACACCATGGCTCCAGTCGAAAGACTCACTTATCACAAGAAAAACTAAATGGACTGTGTCAGCGCCTAGAGAATGATCTTGGCCGACTCACAGCATAATTCTAAATACTTGGGGTAGTTTAAGTTTAAGCTACAACTCAAATCTGAATATCGCACTATCCCTGCTGCAGGAACGCTTAAGAGCTGGGCCCAGCTTCAACACACAGCAGGAAATTATCACATTCACGGACAAAGAAACTGCAAGCATGTAGTTATTTAGATCCAGGCATTTCGGAGAAAACCAAAGAAACTAAAATCTTTTCTTAGCCGTGTTAAAAAGTTTTAGGCTTTAAGAGAGGTGAAAGAAAATGAGTACTTTACTACTGCATCTGAGATCAAATCCTATCAGGAACACCTACAAGAGGCATAAAAGAAACAATTACTCGATATGCATGTAACAAATCAGCTTCACTGATGACCACTAAATGTAAAACTTAGTGCGGCAAAAATAGGATTTACTCAGTCAAGGTTAAGAATGCTCCATGCACTGTGTAGGGCTATAGTGACCTACGCGGAAGAGAGACAAGGAGAAAAACCTCTGATTCTTGGCAAGCAAGCTCTAAGGTCACGCTTCACATTATCGCGTCGCGAGCGTATGAGTCGTGTTTAGCCTGTCAACATTTAATTTTAAACCATCGTAAGTGCGTCAAAATAATAATAAACTAGGGTATCTAAAAGATAGTAATGCTGCGGCACATTCTGTTGATACTGCATTAGTTAGGCAGTGGGACTTAAAAGAATCGAAGATGACATTGAATGTCCTATTTACATGTTGGAAAGTACTAGAATAATTACTATCAGTCTATAGAAAGAACTCGTGGGAACGTTGTTTAGAAAATGATCGAGTGGTTATCAACTCTGGTTTTCCCACAGTAAATTGTAAGAAAAGGATAGAAATTCAGATTGTTTATCCATATATTTAATAGAAAAGATAGTACGGTGTACTATCTTTTCTCTGGAAACACGATACTTTTATTGTACTTTATTAAGTAACAGTTATTTAGCTATATATTTATAGAAAACAACATCACAAAAAACGGAAAAAAAAAAGAAAGAAGGAAAAAAAGAATGTGGTAAGACTCGAACCCAGCACCATCGTCTCGACTCGACTACACCTAACCACTACACCACAGAACTGACCACGTAGATTGGGGAAAAATCTTTAATTTAATGCCTTTTCCATGAAACTTCCGCCGACAAGATGATCGCCAGCCGCATTAATCGAGCTATTAACAATAAAAAAACAATGTAAACACATATTCCATGGCAATGAATGAATGAAAGAACAGAATTATGCTTTTCAAAACGCCGATACACGTCCTCGTCAGCAACGTAGGACACAAAACATATGTTTTGTTATCTCGATTTCCGCTGTTATTTTGAAGCGAATGGTCAAAATCACATCCACTTTCGGCTCATACAGGTTTTTAAGAATAGCATGGCATAACATTCTCTCACTTTCACATCACCTTCTAGCAAGCTGGAATTTGTATATCCCCCGTGTTGCGGCGTCGAAGAGCAAATGCTCATCTTCTCATCAGGTTTAACACCTGGACGAGTCAAAGGCTCTTGAATTAAAATCCAATCCCCAAGTTAACCATCGTACTCATCTGAAAGACTCCTGCGTGTTAAAATTTGGTAAGACCTCTAACCGTGCTGTAGAAAATACTCTGAGTCTGGGCAACGAACGATGCGAACTTCCCCGTGTTTTTATTTGAGTTGTTCGTGGCGCAATGCACTCTGGAATTTACGTTACGTAACACCATTTTTCACTACTTAAGCTCTTAAGCAGCGGGGAATATATAAAGGGAATTTAGGACTAATACAACGACGAGCGAGGGATGCGTCGCTCCGCAGCAACAAGAACGTTGCCTGCGTGCAGACGTCTCCCATTTCCTTTGTTGCACGCGGAAAAGGGACGTCTGCGTAACGCCGTCGCTAATCGTGTTCCAGCGTCCCGCTGGGTTACTAAGATCTTGGGAACATGCTGTGATAGGCTGACACACAGTGCGCATTGTTTGACTTTACGCTGATTGGTCGTTATCGAATCTGGTCTGATAATGTATGCGGTGATTTATGTAATCGGGGTTTTCCAGCCAAAACAAATCAAAACATGTGCCATTGTCTCATTGTGTGCAGACCGTTCGAAATCTTGTGCGAGGCCTCGGAAAATTTAACGTGTGCAAGGAAATTATTTCTTCACAATTTACTGTGCATGACACATCACATCATACTGTGAAAGGTTTGAACCCAGGAGTCATTTCAAAAGGTTGAGTTTGAGCGTCCGGGTGAACGTAGTCCTGAATAGGACTGTTGTTGTTGACAGTGACTGACGTTTCGACAACCTGCGCGGTAGTCATCTTCAGAGTCAAAGTGAGTTGTATCACGTCAGTTGATGGTATTATACTCTGGTTATATATAGGTGAGGCAAACGGTAAATCTAGAACATTTACTATAAAATAACAATCGGCTACACAAACAGATTGAGCGGGCTCCCTGTGGTCAAAGCTCCCGCGAGACGGTTTCTTGGTGATTTTATTAATTTTTGCGATCCATTTTTTTTTTCAGCTCTATTTTCGCGGCTTTTGCGATACAAACTAAATTCATTTTTAGTTGTGATGGCATTACACTGGTTAATCATGACGGCTTTGGAAGAAACTGGATATATTGCACTTCGCGATTTCCCAAAATCGCTGCGGGAATTAAAAAATATTTTCTTCCAAAAAAGCGTTTTCACGCTTCTTTCTCTAGTCAATTATCTCGTTTGTCTCGTTTTCTAAAGGTCCTTGAGAACAGAATAAGACAATATTTTATTACCTACAACCTATAAAAACCTGATTTTTGACCAGATCGAGACAAAACTGACCTCTGAAATGGAAGAAGAATAGCCTTTTATTTTTGCTGGCTTCGGCCCGCCGACTCGATCGTGTCTGTTTTGCTTTCATATGATGACATTTTCCTGACAGAAGGGTGTCGGGAGAAACACCTCGCGCTGATCATACGTGACAAAATCCGCCGCGCCTAAGCTAATTAAGAAAAGTCTCCTCGAAAGCTCCATACAATTCCTTGCCTGCGTGCAGACGTCTCCTATTTCCTTTGTTGCACGCGGAAAACAACAAAGGAAATAGGAGACGTCTGCACGCAGGCAATACAATTCCTTATAACAAAATTATAACGAATTGTATGGAGCTCTCCGGGATACTTACAGCGCAAGCCCTGTGTGTCTTCTCATGACTCTCAAGGTCACGTTTCGCGTTATCACGAGCTTATGATGTTGTGTTTGGCCTGTCAACTCTTATTTCTTACTGGATATTATTTCCGGCGGGACTTTTCCGCGGGTGACGGGTGACGGGTGGCGGGTGACGGGTAGGGGGTAGACGGGTGGTGGATAGCGGGTAGCGGGTGACGGGTAGCGGGTTGCGGGTGGTGGTTCAGGCCTTAAAAAATAAAAATAAAAATAAAAAGGGGAAACCAAAAAAAGAAAAACTATAATAAAAATTACAAAAAAAGCGATATTTTAGCAATGTTCTTCTACACGATATCGCATGCACGAGATAGCTTGAGGAACTCATAAAAATTAATAATGATAGTAATATTTATCCTGCGACCAGACAAGTAAGATCGCATTCTCTTCTCGACATGTTTGAACAGTGTCTCAGATTTTTGACAAGTGCGTTTGTTCTTTTGTTATAAGTTGGGATAAACATTGCTTTGCCCGTGGGATAAATCTTTGCCAATTTGGTTCCCGACTTTTAGTTTAAAAAGAACAAAATGTCTACTTCGAGAAAACAAGGAAATTTTCCTAAGACTAAAGCAACAAAGCTGTCAATGTTAATGCGTACCAGAGAAGGAGCAACAACGTTTTAGACAAAACATGGACCGTTTTCGCCGCATGTGGCGTCTCGGACGCGAATTGATCTCGTTGTATATATATACAAAAAGGATCTGCATTTTTTTAAATACTA